GAGAGAGAGAGAGAGAGTTTTGAATAGAACAGATTGGAGCTTTGAAGGTTAAGGCCGCACGGCAAATTTTCAATATGCAGAGTTTTTGAACAGATTGGAGCTTTGAGGGTTAAGGCCGCACGGCAAATTTTCAATATGCAGAGTTTTTGGTCAGGGTACCAAACAACTAGCCCAAACAATATTATATGGAACATACAGTATCCACAAACATCCAAAAACATAATATTATGTTTATACTAAATAGTCTGCTCCTGATAATTTTGACTTTCGTCTGGAAAGATGCACTCACATCTACAAAATTTTCAGCCTCCAATTTAATGTTGTAGGTCCATGATGGTTAACGTTTATTAGATGATTCTCTTAATTCCATGCCTGACAACTTCATGAACTTTACTCACAAATCTTTGGTATTATCATTGGCTTTCTTCCTGATATGATCTAGCTGATAGTGAACTGGGAATTGAAATATGGTATTTACAAATCTTTAGTTGATTATTGTAATGGTGCTCTGTTGTAATGTCATTGATATATCCGCTTATACTTTGTAAATTATCTTGTAGTGAATCTTGTAATGGTTCAATTTGGTGGTTTGCAATATCATTCCTATTAGTTAATAGTCATTTTGTCTTGCATCGTTTGTTTAATTTTTTTACCTCCAGGCTGTCTGGACTAACTGCATCTCCCTTTCTAAATTCTTATGCTTCATTTGGGCTTTGATTCTTGCAGCATATTGAGGATTTAACACAAGAAAAGTTCTCTTTGCAGCGAGCCCTTGATGCATCACGAACTTTGGCTGAAACATTAGCCTTGGAAAATTCTTCTCTTACAGATAGCTTTAACCAACAGGTTGGGTTCTTCTTTTAACTAGATGATGGAGTTCTTCAAAATGCATTTAAGAGGAAGCAAATTACAGTTGTTGTGTTCATGCAACAAGTCTAGGACAATTTGTTTCCCTTTTTTTGGAATTATATGAGGAGTTATTTAGATTTTGTTTATTATAGTTGTTTAAATAATTGAAGTATGCTAAGGATTTGTTTCTTCCAGCATTGCATCAAATTGTCTTAGGTTGTGGCATGATAAGCTTCGATTTGCATCGTAATGAATCAACATGTGCGTTATGCATACTTATTTATTAAAAATTCATTTCAAAAATTTCAAACTAATGCATTAAGAAATTTTAATCATATCATTTCATGCAGGATTAGAATTTGGACCATATGCTTAGATCGGGCAAAGAAATGCCCTAGTTAATCTTTAAAGTTGCAGCATGGTGGACTTGTTTACCCTAAGCAACTCTAGGCCTTGACTGGCATATAAATGTCACTTATCTTTTCAGAAAGATAAGCAATGTGTCAATATTGTGGGGAATACATGCAACGATATTGAATTAAGGGCATGTCCTTTTATCATCAAAGGCATTGCAAATGAAGAAAGGAAAATCTGAAGGGTTGCATAATGGCATGTAGGGAACTTGAATCTCCAAAGTTTCCACATGATGATGAAGTATGACTTCATTTGCTTCTAAGGAAATACGTATGAGGCCTTATATTCGAAGTTGAGTTTAAAACTTAAACTTGGCTTAGGAACATGATTGGTCCTGAGTTGTGTTGACTCATTGAGTCTTATCCAATTAACACATGGATATTATGTGTTTTTCTATTTTCTAAAGACTCAAATTGTCAGAAAGTCAAATCTAAATGTTTAGAATTCAGTTTTTTTTTTTTTGGGAAATACTTATATAGAGATTCTAAAGTGAAGCCCAAAATTCTAGATCAAGAAAATACTCCTTAGTAGATCTCTCTCCTGAGGTAGTAAGTGTGTCGTTTGTCCAGAAGGAGTATGCTATATGTGTCTTTAAAATAATAATTTATGAACTGAAATTTGTTGGCCTGGCAATATGTTCAAGAAGATGTAATGAACACTGGATGTCTACTTTATTGATTACCTTTATCTCCTTGAATCTTTGTGTAATTGATTATTTCTTGCGTCTCTAAGTATGTGGTGATTGACAGGGGGGAGTCGTAAACCAACTGAAATCTGATCTGTCAAGACTACAAGAGGAAATCAAGGTTCAGCTGGTTAGTTTATTGGGATATTGTATATGAATTTTTTGGTTTTTCTTGCATTTTTATTCCAAGTTATCTAGTTGATTTGGCTTTATCAGAGAAAATAGGCATGTTTTTGTGACTTTCTGTGTTTTGGGATTTAGGAGAAATTGGTAGGTCAGACAAATAACATATCAACTAATATATGCTGTTTATAAATAAACTAATCTTCTGTCACTAATGTGCTGTGCAATGTAAGGTGGTTTAGATGTAGGAGGGAATGACCAACTACACCTTGAACTTGCCTCACAGAGTTGTTCATTGTTGTTGCTTTTGCTATGTAGTTTTTCATTTGTGAATATTTCTTATGTTAGGAAGCTTACCAATTCCAGATAAACAATCATATTTCTTATTTTAGTAAGCTAATCAATTCCAGATGCACATCTTAGATTGGTGGTGAGACAGAAAAGATAGTTGCTTAGGTGGCCTAGATGAAAATCCGTTGCACTGGAGGGGATCTAGATAGGAGGGTGGGCTTAGGTGGGATGATGTCCATGTCGCCTGCTAGGATGTACCATAGACTTGCCTTTAGCACTACCCAGTGCTTCTTTCTATGCTTTGTATTCATTTTGGTCCAGTTGCATTTGTGCTTCTTGGGTTATCATACTTTGTAATTGTGCAGAACCCCGAATGGCGGATGCTCTATAGATTTGTCTATTCCCTGCCCTGTCCCACCTTTCTGTCATCATAATATATGCCTCTCCTCTCGAGCAACGTTGGATGTATCTAGCAAGAATATCACTGCCTTGTGTAAGTCATGACTGATTGCAAAACAGCAATCAATATTTATCTTTTTGTGAGGCTACTTGGGTTTAGTGGCTATTTTGGCATTTTCAAAGCTCAAACAAGTGATGTTCTAAAATGGACAAACACGTTATGGAACAGTTCCCAGCCTAGTTCCTTCAGAAGATAGAATTAGACATGTTTAGTGGTCCATCCAAACTGGCTCTTAGAGTTTCATGGAAGCATATTTTTTCTTATCATCTTAAGGCGGTTTTGTCTTGCAGGGGCAGTTGACCCTTGATCTCCCTCTATTTCCCATTTTGTCCCAATTTCTTTCCCATTGAATCAAAATAACAATGCCTTCAGGTCTTGCTTCTTGAAACTAGTGTTTATATTGTTGCTGTGGAGTTATTTTATATGCTTTTCGTCTTTTAATCAGGATTTTTATTTTCTTTGCTCTTTTTTTCATGACGGTGTTTGTGAGTCCAAATCCATCACACGCTGTTATTGTGAGTTCAGATTATTTATGTGGTGCTAAATCCTTGGTTGTTACAACTTTTATTAACCAACAGTTGGCACTTGATACAATGAAAATGGAGTACACGAATGCTCAACTTGAATGTAGTGCTGCTGATGAGCGAGCTAAGATACTAGCATCTGAGGTTATCGGTCTTGAGGAGAAGGTATCCCCTTGCTTATTTTTCTAATGCATGTCTATTTTAGAGTTATGCTGTTATAATAAATGCTCTTCCTGGATGGAAACTCTGAGGAAGGTGTGGCAACTTAACCACTACTAATAAATGCTTTTTTTATTCTTTTTTGTGCACACAGCATGCCATTATTTCTGTCTTATTCATAATGTGAAGTATTGAATCTTTTTTTGCCAGCTATTGGATTTTGATCAGTTTGAGGAACTTTTGTCAAATAATTGTTTTCATCTATTCACGAGCTGAATATAGCAGCATATAGGACAGAGATAATGGTAGATGATAAAGTTAACTATTCATTTTTTGCTTAACAGCATTTTTGTTTCTTAGTTGAAATGATAGCAGCATTTTTATATCAGGATATTACTTTTTAAGCATTAGTGTGTCGCTCTTGAAGCCTTGTCGGCGCTCCATTCTTAAGGAAAAGAATCCTACTTTTAGGCCTTGGATCTTGAAAGGAACCTTGGCACACTGAGTTTAAAACCACAGTTTAGCTTTAAAGCGATTTAATTGTATATTTTAGTGACAAGCATTGTATACTGCTTTATGTTTTGGTGTTTTTGCTATATATAATTTTTTTATAAATTATTTTGTCACTATTGATTGCTTTGAAATCTCCATGCCTAATTGTAAATTTCCCTCACAGGCGCTTAGATTGCGATCAAATGAGTTAAAGCTGGAGCGACAATTGGAGAACTCAAATGCTGAGTTTGCTTCTTGCAAGTATGGGCTGTCAGAATGCCACTCTTTTCCTTTAAGACATTTTTCACCATTGCGTGGTGCTTTGGGTTCTCTTTCCTGGATATTGGAATCTGGAAACAACTTTGGTTGCTAATTTTTGAAACTCAGACAAACAATTTAATTCTTCATACCAGACTTGCCTATGACAGTGATATTTGCTCTCCCGTTCTTTCTGTTTTATATTTCTGTGTCTGTTGGCAAGAATTCTATATTATTTTACCCAATTGCAGTGTATTGTGTGTGTGCTTCTCTAGCATTTTATCTTTCTAGCTTCAAGATTCTACCATGTTCGCCAAGGCTTCTAAGACTGGTGGGTTTAGCATGGTATAATCTTTTTCCACACTAGTTTAGAGCCTGCGTTGAGGTCATATCGTGATTCTTCCATTACTTGTTCACGGTTTCTTAAATGCAGTCCTGTTGAATGTGATCCTTTGATTACATAGAATTTCTTACAATATTAACTATTGTTGCAGAAAGAAAATATCCAATCTTGAGAGAGATCGCAAAGAATTGCAGGCTACAATAGATGCTTTACGCGAAGGTACAAACTGGTACTCATTTTATATGATTGTCATTGACTGTTATATTTTACCCAGCTGAGTGCATTGCTTGTGGAAGTTAATCTGTTCTGGACAGAGAGCCTTCCCTTTCATTCACATACCCATATATCTATCCTTCTTGGGTGTGCATGTGTGTGTATGGTTGATTGTTGATTAGAAACACACTCCTGGTGGAGTATAGTACTGCTGAAAAAACAATCATCAATGAACGTGTTAACCATGTGAATTAATCGCCACTGCTTGTCTGTGGCTTAGTCTGAAAACAATTAAACTTGTGTGTTTAATTAAAGGTAGTGAAATTCTTTCAATTATTTTGGTTCATTTAGTTCTCAGGAGATTATTTAAGGTTTCACTTACAGGGAGTTGTTTTATTTGTACACTCTTGATTGCTACTGAAGAGTGGATATTCAAGGATCTACCTGGAATAAAATAATAAGATGTTTATACATTCAATGCTCCATGAGCTACTTTGTAAATAGTATCTTATGTACATTATCTTTCCCCTGCACAGAAAAAAAGCTATTGCAGTCGAAGTTGCGTAAAGCTGCGACTGGGAAGGTGGCTGAGATTAGCAGGAATCCCACCGTTACCAAAGATGTATCAACATCCACTGAAGATTTAGGTGTGTGCTATCTACTGTAAAGCTTATACTTCTTATAATGTATTAATTATTTTCCATTGCTTAATATCTATTCCCCATTTGAAAAAGCCATGCTAATTATGGCATATAATGTTTTTCCCTGCCATACAGGAGCTGAAGTTCGAGATTCTAATGAAGGGGAGGCTGTTGCTATGGATGCAATGTCTGCCATTGCCTCTAATCAAGTGGAACGTATTGAATCTTCTGCTTTGCTACAACCTGCAAATATACAAACTTATATTCAAGACTCATCGGCTTCTATCCCCCCTGACCAGATGAGAATGATTGACAACATTAATTCTTTGCTTTCTGAGGTACCAATATTTTTCCTTCATTTTGTATGATCAAAGGTTTGATAGTTTTGAAGTAGAAAATATTTCTCTTGGCTTTTTTGGGTAGAAATGAACAATTCAAACTTATCATTAGTTTACTTACCTGAGTATCCTTATAAATGTAGTTGGCATTGGAGAAAGAACATCTGACAAGTACTCTTGCTGTTGAATCATCCAATAACTCGAAGCTTAAGGTAATGTCAGAAACTTTGTGCAATCTCACTGAATTTATTTCCCCTTGCAGTAATTTATAAAAGCTTCAGACTGAAATTGATAAAGTAGAGATCTTGCGTTATTTGTTTCTAGTATTAAATGTAACTTTTCAATATTCTTGTTGGAAGTGATGGGATTGTTTTTTCATAGTATTTAGACATAAGCCTATGCATACCCTGATTCACTCTTGCACATTGCAATTTACTTCTCTTTTGAAGGAAACAAACAAGGAATTATCCCAAAAGCTAGAAGCTCAGACTCAAAGATTGGAGCTTTTGATTGCTCAAAGCATGGCCCATGAAAGTATTTCTGGCTCAGCTGTACCAACTGACTCCCATATGATGCATGATGCTACAGTATATGCAGACGAAGGGGATGAGGTATATCCATATTCTCTAGTAGCCTTTTATATTCAATTACAAACAATTGTGGTTGAACTGAAAGATGCTTGGAGAGTGTTAATTTCTCTGTGAGCTCCACATCAGTTGATCTTCAACCATGGATATGGTCAAGGACTACATACCATAGTCACTCGACTATTGTATAATTTCCCTTGTAAAAGTAGCTGCTGTCTTTTTTTTTTTTTTTGCCCGTGTAAAAATTGCTTTTCCCCTATGCAAGCTGATAGTTTTGGTTATGATGCTTATTTATATCAGGTGGTTGAGAGAGTATTGGGATGGATAATGAAGCTCTTCCCAGGAGGCACAACGAAGCGTCGCACCAGCAAGCTCCTTTGACAAAAGCCATAGGGGTTTTATTCTACTCAATTTTTTTTGGTGGTATAAAGCTACCACCTGTATATTGTGAAAGTGATTTGAGAAATATATCGATATATAGTCCATTCTTTGAACTGGAAAACAGAATCTGGGTTGGTCCTTGATGGGTGGTTTATTCATGGAATAAAGAAGCCCTTGGTCTACCCTTTCTCCTATTGACAATCGGAAATTTTGTATTCTTCCCATGTTACAAGGAAATTATAAAGATCACGTTCATGTTGTTCATGGATAAAAACCGTTTTAATTGTTGTGAAAATCTCCAAGGACTTCTTTTTAATTTTTTTGGGTACCATTAATGTGTAAATGTTGATGAAAAATATACATCCTGGTTTGATTTGATAATTTCAAATTATCTTCGTTGAAAAAATAGCTAAGAATCTTGTGTTATTATTTCAACTCCCCCAGTGGTATGAGAAGAATGGAGTAGAGAAATGCATATTAAATGCATCTATAATGGTGTTCAATCATCAAAACGAAAATTTCCGAAGAATTGATTAAAAGACAGTTTTTATTTCCTTTCTAACTGGAAACCTGGAAAATTTCCGAAGAATTGATTAAAAGACAGTTTTTATTTCCTTTCTAACTGAAAACCTGGAGAAAATTTTAACTCCGATCCCATCATATAGATCATCTAATAAAAAAAATAAGGAAACAAAATTCTTGTTTTTTAACAGTATGGGAATGGCAAGAGTAAATGATATTGGAAAAAGTTTATATAGAGCTGAGGCTCTAAACAATTAATTTAGAGCCCAACTCAAAATTTTACTAGAAGAGGTTGTTTTGAGCGCAAATATCCTCAAATTGATCATCTTGACATCAAAATGCATGGATATGAGAAAATATGGATTTCAAGTTTTGGAAATGGTACATCTTGTAACACATTTTAAGACCGTTAATTTTCAAGATTTTCAAGTTTTGAGAGATCTTTGCAATCTATATTATTTTTGAAACATTAAATATTATAATTAAAAATAAAAATATATTTTAAGGCTATTACAAAGATTTTCAGTATTGTAACCACATTTCTCAACACTATTTGCTGGTGCGCTTTACTTCAAGGTTTTACACAACCGCAGCCCCTGCCCCCTTCAAGTAACTAAGAAGTAATTTAATGGTTGAAAACAAATACTTACATTTAAATATAGAAAAAGATAGGGCTGCAGCCCAATCAAAATAAATAAAGCCCCACCTCATAATTCATCAAAAATTACAATTCAAGAATTGAAAAACCTTTCCATCGATTATCTCAACTTAAACATATTAATTGTGAAAAAATAAAAAGATTTTAAGCTTTGTATATTGTAACAAATTTCTATAACCATCCATTTCACCCAAAAAATAAGTGTTCAAATTTTATTGTCTGTGTTAGAAATTGATTTAGATCCATCATGGATATTTTTGTTGCCAAAGTGCTTTCCAGATGAAGATTTGAGGTGAGGCTTTATTTTGTTTTCATAAAGCCTATGCCTCATAAAAACTTCATTCATATAAGAACATACACTCTTTCGACACAAAATATGCTTATGTTTGAGAAAGGGGTTGGGCTCATTGTGGTAGTAGCCCCACTCTTGTTATCACGTTGTGGTTTTCATTCTCACCGCTAATACCACCCCTATTAATTCATTCAAAAAAGCTAACTCCTAATCTATTTGAAAAAACGATAGGGGTTCTTCCTCACTGAATTATCCAAAAAAATAGAAGGGGAATGATCTTGAGTATTAAAAATATTTAGGGTAATTATTGCCAATATGCCAATATACCTATATTTTAGCTTTATTAGAAAAAAACCCGAACTTTCAAAAACCTTGTCTACACCGTTTTTTTTCATTTTCGGATTTTTTGGACGAAAATGACTTTCATGGTAGTCATTTTATCGCAATTCATATTAAGTTTTACAGTAATTAAAATACGGTTATAACTTGAAGTAGTATTACGATAATTAAAATATTGTAATAACTTGAAGTAGTATTACGATACTTTAAATACAGTAATAGATAACATTTTCTTTACAACATTCTTTTTACGTAATGTTTTATACGGTACTTTAATTACCGCAATGTTTAACTCACCGCAATGTTTAACTCATTTCATACGGTACTTTTAATCCTACGTACCCCTCTTTCTCTCAACTTTCCCCCTCGATCTCTCTCAATCCCCCAAACAAATCATCTCTATTCCTTTCAACTCTCCCACTTGTCCTTATCTCTATTTCATCTCCATCCTCCTAAACTTTCTCTCTTTCTCTCCAAGTCACTCTCATTTCCCTCTCAAATCTCTCTTACATGTAAAACCCCTCACTTCAAAGTCTCATCTCTCTCTCCTCTCCTTCATTGGTCGAGAAGGAAGCTATACATGGTGCCTAATTACGGTAGAAATAATGTTGTAAAGAAAATGTTATCTAATATTATTTCAAGTTATTACGGTATTTTAATTACCATAATACTACTTTAAATTATTATGGTATTTTAATTACTGTAAAAGTTAATATGAATTACGGTAAACGACTACTGTGAAAGTTATTTTTATCCAAAAAACTGGAAAATAAAAAAAAATTCTATAAACGAGGTCTTTGAAAAGTGGTTTTTTTTCTAATTAAGTTAAAATATAGGTATATTTGTTATAATTATCCAAATATTTAATACCCAATGATTATCCAAATATTTAATACCCGTTCTTTTTAAAAAATTCCATTTACTTATCTTCTTCCTCCTACCCTGAAAATATCTACCAAGCATATTCCGCAAATGCCTCTCTCTCTACCCGTAAAAAACCTACCATGCGGATCTTCATCTGTCTTCACCCTACTCTTTTCTCCTCTCTCAATCTCTCTCTGCCTCACAACTTACCCTCTCTCTCTTCACCTCTCATTCAAAAACTCCCTCTGGTTGTTTTTTATTGTTTTTTACAATATTTTCATTCAAAAGATTTCCAGCAGAGAGCTTGAAAATGAAAATAATGAAAATGATACTTACTTGAATATAGAGTCGTCTGATTATGATTTTGGTCAAGAGACTGTTGCTTTAAGAGCAAAAGATTTCGGAGACCAAGATAAGGAATCTTTGGAAATGGTTTCTGGTTATGACATCGTAAAGAGTTGAAGAAGTTAATATGGGTGCTAGTGGGTTTATCAGCAAAATTCCCAGCGAGTTTCCAAAGGTCGATGAAACTTCTCTGCAGCCTCATTCAAAAACCCCCATGTACAAATCGTTCAAAGCTCTACAAATATTCTCGACCCAGCCTCATTGAATAATAGCCATTGCTGGTGAATTTTGCAAGCCCCAAAACCTAACATCCAACAACCAAAAACCCGTTAAAACCCCCAACCAGTGAGAAAGGTTTGTATGCTTCCGCTACTGCATAGGAGTTCTATCCTTCCCCTACCATCTAGCTCTCCAATAGTGAGAAAGGTTTGTATGCTTCCCCTACTGCATAGGAGTTCTATCCTTCCCCTACCATCTAGCTGTCCAATTTTGATCAAGAGAGGCACTCATCGTTTGATCTTAGATTGGACGATATCAAATTATTTTATATTTAGGTTTTTTTATACAAATTGTACGAATATGAAATATGATACTCGCCATCTTCTCGTTAGGCGCACTTATGAAAAAAATATTAAAAATAATTTTTCGATAAAATATAATGATCAAAATACCTCATAAAATTTACAAAAGTATTTTGGTCATTTTATTTTATTGAAAATAATTTTTTTTATATTTTTCGCTAGTGGGAGTTTAATAAAAGGAATGGATGTCCAAAATTTGGTATCATAATAGTTTATAGAAAAAATTTTAAAAGTAAAATAGTGTAGAGATCTGACATTATGATTGGGGCAATCTTAGCCATCGATTCAGAATGGACGATTGGATAAAGCGGAGAATAGACTTCTATGCTATATGGGAAGCATAGCCCGTTTCTATGTTCCCCTACATTCTATATTCCCCGTACCATCTAGCCGTCCATTTTTTTTATCAAGAGAGCCACTCACCGTTTGATCTTAGATCCAACGTCTCGAAATATTTTATTTTTAATTTTTTAATACAATTTTTTTTATATAAAATTTGGTACGTGCCATTTTCTCATTAGGACGCACCTATAAAAAATATTAACAATAGACCAAAATACCTTTTAAAACTTTTAGAGGTATTTTCGTCATTTTATTTTATTGAATATATATATATATATATTTTCTTTAGTACGAGTTTAATATAGGAATGGACGTCCAAAATTTGGTGTCAAAACAATTTATAGAAAAAAAATTAAAAATAAAACAGTATAGAAACGTGACATTGTGATTGGGATAATCTTAACCCTCCATTAAAACATAGATGGTTGGATAAAGGAGATAAAAGAGAAACATAAAAAGCTTTCTCGAGAGAAAAAGAGCAAACTGGTCAAAGATGTTTTAATGGAAGAGGCCTTTCATGCCCTCGCAACTTAGTAGCCTCCCAAAATTTTACACCTTGAAAATCGTTGGTATGATACACTCCAACAATATGTATTCAAAATAGGATCATTTCCTATAAAAGAAATATGCTCTTATTTTTACGAAAAAAGTTTATACAAGGTTGCAAACTTAAAATGTAGAATTACATGGCACCTCAAAAATCTATGGAAAATGTTGTTTTAATGTTGAAAAATCCTTTAATTGATCGAATATGAAAAAAACAGAAGTTTTTGAATTCCTAAAATAGTGCTTTTTAAAACACATGATCTAGATCATCTATTTTCAAGATTTTCATATGTTTATAGATCTACCTGATTTTAATTATTTGTTGAGTTTAAAACTTTATAATTAGATATGAAAATAGATTTTAAGATAATCTTAAGAATTTTTCACACCAAACTTGCATGTTGTGATAAAATTTAGAGATGTACCTTAATTGGATTGTTTAAGGTAGCAACCTTATAGAACCACACCTGTTTTATTACCAGTGAGCATCTCTAGTATAATAGTCAATTCCCTTGGCGAGAGAGAGAGAGAGGAGAGAGAATCCATTAGATCATTAAAATGAAAAGTAGCGAAGACAGAAGATCCTGCCAAAATTTCATTAGTGACGATCACAACATTAGCAATGTCTAACATTGGCAAAATTTAAGGTCACAATCGCATATCAATCAACTTATGAGATTCCCTGTATATCTCCCCACATCATATGACTGCAACGGTTGCTGGTGACCCTCTCGATATTGAACGACACTGCAGCTTTCTCTACCATGACATTCAGGTCAACGTCAATCCTATACGACACATCGATACCTTCCAGTATCAGATGATATGCGACATCTCGATCAGAACAAAGTGAGATTTCTTGAGTCTCAGATTCACCATCTCCTTCTATGACAGTCGAAGTATGGGGCCGATTTTGTTGAGAGAATGATCTTATGTCCCATGAAAGAACCTGCTCAATCAAGCATTGGAGCTCACTTGGAGAGGAGTAGAAAGATTGTTTCTCCTAGCAGCCATGTGTAAATAAGATTAGCTTCTTACTATGATATTATATTCAACAAATTTGAAGGGAGATTTATGCATCTAAACAACTTCTTGAATCTGAATATCGTTGCAATGATGATATTGAGTTTCATAAAATGAAAGAGAAAACATCTTCTAATTTCTGTTCTGGTCCTTTTTCAGTGCTTTTCTTAAGCCTGCCTTTCTGACTTCCTCCAAGGTCTCTCTCACACACACACCCACAGCCCCCTACTCCCCAATTTCTTTTGTGGATAAGTCATCTTTCCAAATCTTTGCCAAAAGAATTCACAGCCCCTCTTCAATTTCTTTTAGAACACCAACTGTATAAGCTAGCTCATAGGGGTTCTTTTCCTTATAATAGTTCGGCATGGGGTATGAGAAGACAAACCATGCTTTAACAGAATCTATCTAATCAAAATAAATGGACATGGTGTTCCTGGTTTTTAGGGTTTACCATTGTTGCCCAGCAAAGAGAAAGACTTTCAAAGAAACTGGGCGAGAAGTCGACAGTTGAGACAGCTAATGCTTTAGCATTGCATTCTTCCTGCATCATATAATCTGATATTAGTACACATGATAAATCAACCAAATAATCGCAATAAAACATTTGTCCCTCATTATGTAATCCAATGCAAGTTGAACTTCATAACCTGTGAGGAACAAAATATGATGAAATTGTAACATATTACTTGCCTTTTTTCTGTTTCTTTTTTTTGTTGACTTCGAACAAATTACTTACCTTTTTCAATTTGAAGAACTCCACAACTAATTTATGCTGCGTAATCGCAACCCAAATAGGAGAAAATTCAAGCCTTCATGAGTCAACATCATTTGGAGCTCATTGTGGTAAACTTCGTTTTTATTCCGATTAAAATCTAAAATGTTCTATGGTGTAGATCTGATGGAGGGGGAATCAGCATCATCTAATACTTTTTCTTTTTTGTGTTTCGCAATAGAAACCTTGTAAGAAAGAATTCCCATTCTAAAAGAAAAATGGAAAGTTTTCTAAGAAAGAATTCCCATTCTAAAAGAAAAATGGAACTATTACTTGATGTATTTGAAATTAGGAACAGGTTAACAATTTATGGGGACTTTGAGCTTCAAATTTTACTACTAACAAATACCAAAACAATATATTGTGGTACATAAACAAAGTATAGTCTAATATAAATTTAACCTAGAAAAGGATTGTTACATAAAACCCCTAATGTGTACTCTTATCTATTTTATAGTTCAAATAAGGCTCAGACGATGATGATGTTCACTTAAGTTTGATCCTATATTATTGGTTTGCTCATGAAAACATGGTCATTCATTGTGCCCATGGTTCCCAACCAAAGGGTGTCGTCAATTGAGAAGGGAACCCAATAAGGCGTTCACCAATTGGGTGAGCAGCAAGTAACAATTTGGACAATTCAATTCATAAATTTTCCAAACCAGGACCTTGTGTGTATATGAATCTAAATTGTTTGAAAAGAGAAAACTAGTAGGAAACTTCCATAATCAGAGCTCGAAAGTTTTGATGAAGGAATAATACTTTTGCAGAATCCATGGTCCCAAATGAATGGGACAACCTCAAGATGCACTAATTCAACTAAAGCATGGCAATAAAGTTACCTCTAACCACTCTGGGACAGTTGCTCCCTTGATGCTATCAGAATATGGTAAATATGGCTTGATGTCAAGTACTGGCTGTGGATAAAGGAATAAAGCAATCAGAGAAAGATCACATAAAACTTGAGCACAACAAGTTTTAATAAATCCCACTGATAATGCTAGAAAACGAAAGTCAAATAGAACACTTAACCGTGCCATCAACAAGATCTACACCAGAAAGTGAGACCATACATCCATGCACCCCCTCTATCTGGCCCACCAGATAAATTATATCAGTCGTCTTTCAGAAGACAATAATAAACAACCTACAGTCAATTGTTGTATGATTATGTTTCAGCTCATGCAAAATAACAAAAACTAATTCTCCTTCTAAATCAAAAGGAAAATATAAACCAAATGAATTTGGTGGAACTATGGAAGACTACTTGATTGGATTTGACAACTAATTGTTTGAAGGGATATCATATGCATCCATACCTTTGCAACAGTGAGACCAATAGGGCAAGGTCTATGTGGAGATCTTGTTGCAAATACGCCCATCTTACCGCCTTTGAGCCGTGGCACTCTCACCTACCCATATATGACTCCATTACATGACTAAGCAATGCAAATCATCATAAAGAACTTGCATAAAAGTGGATATCATGATTGAGTAAATGTGATAGTGCACGCAAACTATAGGATCGAATAAAAACTGCAATACTGACCTTAGCCTTAAACTTTGAATTTGTTGGCTTCCCCCACAACTTCTCAAGGTCAGTGTTTAAATGAAAGACATAAAGGATCCAACAGTGAGAGAATCCTGAAAGGCCTTCAAGAGTGGCTGGAGGAATTTGACTTGGATCAAGTACTAAGCATGCCCGAGCAAGAGGTATGAGAAGTGGTTGTCGTGGTGTCCCATTTCTATGCAGAAACAAAGCATCTATAAGAATCAAATTCACCAAAAATACCAGAAACAAATCTATATCACTATATCATTTTCTGACGAGTGAATCAATATCACCACATAATAATTCAGTATTTTGAAGCTCAGACTCGATAATACCTAGTAGAGAAGCAGGATTGCACAGTAGCTATAGGGGTCATGGGGTATGAGGTGAAACCTGATTTATCAGAGTTATGCCCACTCAATGCTTTCCTTAGAGCCTGTGAGATCCAAGACATTATAATTCTATTATTCAATGTGTGATATTTGTTGAAAAAACAAAACACAAAATGGAATAGAAAATTTTGTTGAAATTCAGTTGCCACCCGAGATGAAACAGCCATACAACAAAATGATCAACTAAATGTAAAATAGACAATAACCGAACAAAAGTTGGTTACTCTTATTGCCGAATATGGATGAGACCCAAATTGAAAAACAATGATCTCATTGGCAAACATCAAACTGCACTCTGGGGCTATAATATATATTTTAAATATAGAAATGAAAAGAAACAAAATTTATGAACTATATGATTCTCAGTACGCTAAATTGCATTTTATATTTCTTTTTACAAGTAACTATGTTTTTTAATTTATTTTTACAATTTAATATGGATCAATTACTCTTTTCTCACTCTTTAAACATAATTGGTGCCATATCCCCCTTTATTCACATGGGCCTGATTTCAATTTGCCTACATAGCATGTTCTAAAGAATATCACACCTGTTGAGCTCGAATTCTGCCTTTCCTTTCAGAAGCACATTTTTCTAAAGCAGCATTCAGACTTTTTTCCAACTCCTGCACTCGGTTCTTTACAACTTTCAAATGCTTCCTCCACATATATACTGCACAAATCAAAATTCCCTCAAACTTTTCTCGCATAGATCAACAGTTTAGCTGCCGTAGAATCATGGAAAATATTTTTTTGGGTATGGGTAAGTCAAATTAGGGAAATTATCAATTTACAAATACGAATTTCTATGAGAAAAACACAATCCCCATTCCCCAGGCTGATATAGTATGGCAAAAAGGAAAAGATCAAAATGGTCAATTTCATTAGTGGGTGGTCATATTTGAAATATATATATAGCCAGGAACCGAAATGAAATCTCATTTCCAATAGTGGGAGAAAAAGTTCCCAAAACTGGTATTAAACCAGAGCTAGCCACTGTACATTCGTCTTTTATATTTATTTATCCACTCTAACAAAATTTTCTCCCCCAAAAAAGAGAGAGAGAAAAAAAAAAAAGAATAAATGCAAAATCACTATTGCCCCCAAAAAAGGAAAACCATTTTGTCCAAGTTTCTTGCTTTAAGCCTTAAGGTGTCTAGAAATCACTCCATGATCATCTGACTTGTTGTTCATTACTGATAAATAAACTCGAAAATTCGCCACTTTTAGCAGACAATCTACCACCATTTAAATTGGACAAAGAAAATTGATATTATACAAAAAGAAAACAGTCCATAAAATTTACAGAGCTTGAAGGGAAAACATAATAACACAGATAATGTGTGGTGAAGGGAAAACACAATTACACAGCTAATGCGTGGAGAGAGAGAAATTACTTGTTGATAAAGCGGTAGCAAAAATGGCGAGTGTTAATTTGACCGTTGGACTCCATAATTTCAAATTCTGGACTGAGGCCATGAAACTCCGGGAAGGATCAGCCACCCTACAATCCCAATGAAGGGGAAGAGATGAAATTTTATTTTCGACACGGTTTCTATGCGGCCTGCCCGCATATTGTAGATGTACGGGCTTGGCAATAAATATATATTCTAAATATAATTTAATCTTAATTTTATTATGGCTGCAACTTTAAACAATCCAAAGTACATTTTAAAATTTTATCTTAACATGTAATTTTGTTATAAAAAATTCTTAATATTATCTTAAAATATATTTTTATACCTAATTAAAAAATTTTAAATTTTAAAAATAATTAAAATCAAGTAAATCTATAAATATATGAAAATCTTGAAAATGGACGATCTAGATAATGTGTTGTAAAATGCACTATTTTTAAGACTAAAAAACTTTGTTTTTCCATATTCATACATCTCAATGTCAAGATGATCGATTAGAGGGTTTATTAAACATTAAAACAACATTTTCGATAGAATTTTGAGATGCATATGTGATTCTACATTTTAAGGTTGCAACCTTGTATAAATTTTTTTTTTTTTTAAATTTAAATGAGGGCTAATTTGGATGTGTCTAAAATTAAAATAATTTTGGATTTCAATTTAAAAATCTTGTGAAACTGTGACCGTTTAGACAACTCCACGTGTTTTATTTGTTATATTTTTAGATTGAAAGAAAAAAAAATCCCAATATAAATTGTCATAAAAAAAATTGACGTCAGACTTTTGAATTTTTTCTTTTTTTGGCTTAAGTCGGGTCACTCGCTGACTCTCACACTCTTCCCTCTCCTTCCGGCTTTTCCCTCGACTCCTTCTGCTCTCTTTCATCAATGAGAAGAAAACTCAAAGCTCTACTCTCTCTCTCTCTCTCTCTCTCTCTCGAAAGCGCTTATCACTCTTTTTCTGGTTTTGCCCGGAAGGGACGTTACCATTTTTTGAAAGGTTCATAGCCATGGTTGTGGAGGTGAAAGCTGAGAGCTGTAAGCAAACGGATTTCCATTATAGGGCTCTTAGTATTTCAGATTGGAGATCCACAGGAACCCTAGTCGTATTAGGGTTTAATGGAGGGTTGGATGCTGTTATGGTTTTGAAGAGAAGTGGATTGCAGAGGGAGAGACTGTGAAATACAGGCATTTTTACAGGGAAAGTTAGGGTACTATAGAAGGCGTTATGGAGGTGAGAGATATCCATCAATTTAGGGCTTTGAGAAAGAGTGGGCTGTAGAGAGAGATGTGAAATACAGGGGTTTTTACATGAAAAATTAAGGTCTTGTCTTGTACTGGATGTTATGGAGGTGAGAGACATCCATTAATTTAAGGTTTGAGAAAAAGTGGATTGCAGATGGAGAAACTCTCGAGTACAGGGTTCTTGCAGGAAAAGTTAGGGCCTTGTCAAAGTTAACATTATAAAAAAGAAAAGAAAATTAGGGCCTTGTAGAAGATATTATTGAGAATGACAACCATTAACTTAGGGTTGATTGTAGAGAGAGAAACTGTTTGGATACAAGTTCCTCTTTCTAGAGGGGCTTCTCGATGCTTCTCAATCAAAGCTTTTCGATGCTTCTCAATCAAAGCTTTTCGCTGCTTCTCTATCAAAGCTTCTCAAATGGTGGACTCGCTTCCGAAGATTTTTGGCCTGAAAATGGCAAGATTTTGTCGCAAGTTATAATAACGGAATTGGGTCCTTTTCTGGTCGCGAAGATGGGGGTATGGTTGATAGGGAGCCAAGATGGATGAAGGTTTTTTTTTTTTGACAGATCAATGAAACTAGACATCCAAACAGCCAACATGATAATTTTTTGCGTTGTCAATATATTTTTTTTTGACATCCAAACTGGCCCTTAATTTTTATTTTTAGAGAATTTATAATTTTTAACATGGAGACCATGAATATTAAAATAATAATAATCATTATTATATTAAAAAAATATTTGGACCGATAGTTACACTTGTTTTTATATGGACCACCTATTTGCATCTATTTTCAAAATAGATGTTTTATACCTCTAGACCACGTATTGTAAAAATGCGATCCAACCCCTATGAGACAATTTTCCAGTTTTTTTTTTTTATAATAAACAGTTTTCATAAGGTGACATTTACTAAAATAACCCCAAGTTACTCTGAAATAAGCCACGTTAGGATTTTTTTTATTTTTTTTATTTTTTGCACCGGGCCTTGTAAGAAACATACGAATTTCATGGTTAGTATTAGAGAAATTTATGCCCATATCATGTAAGTTCTTTATTTAAAGGTGCAGTTTCTATAGAGCCGAGGCTCTAACAATCAAAATGAAATGCACTTTTAAATAGTGTCAAGAAATGTGGTTTTATTACTGGAAATCGTTGTGATAGCCTTAAAATATATTTTCATTCTTCCCAAAAAAATGTTACAAGATGCACTATTTCCAAATTTTGAAATCCATTTTTTTTTTATGTCCATATGTCTTGAGATGGTTAATTTGATGATATTTGAGCATCAAAATAAACTCTCTTAATGAAATTTTTGAGGGGGGCTTTAATTTGATTGTTTAAAGCCTTGGCTCTATATAAACTTTTTCATTATTTAAAAATATCTTTTTAAATTTTGTTTTTATCGATTCATACTCATTTCTTCTATTTATTTTTATAAAATTGCCGTGTTTCAGACAATTTGTTCCTAAAAAACAAACCGAAAACAAACTTCTAGACCTTAAGTTCTGAAGTTTAATTTTATCCAAAAAAGAAAAATAAACTTCAAAATTAATTGACTTTTTGAAGGAGATTCTACGAATGTTATCAGGTGGTGCTTGATGCCAAATATCACACCATGGAGGTTTTGTGCTGTTATGGACGAGATTTCTATCCTACTTAGTGGATGTGAGACTTCCTTTCTTCATGTTGACTGTGGATTCTACACAGAGACGGACCTGCAAGCAAAGAGGGCTGCTGCATCCTGACTTTGTCTGATGTTTGTGGTTTTAGCCTCGTTGTATTTTCTGTTTTCTTTCTTTCTGTTTTTCTTTTGTTTTCTTGTACTTTGCGTTCCGTTGTTGTAGTCTTTCATTACCTTAATGAATTCATCACATTTGATAAAAAAAAAAAGAGAGTTTTCAAGAGGGAGATATATTGAAATTCATCTAAAAATTGAGCTATTTAATATCTTACGTATAATTTGACAAATTAAAAAACCCACTTTGGCATGTCATTTCATGAGATAAGTGAAGTTTGATCAAAAGAATGATGGGCTCTTAGAAAATAGATAAAAATATATAACAAGATATTAGATAGTTCAAATATTAGTTGTAGTTCAATAATTTTTCCCTCGCCACACTCTTACTGATCTATAATACGAAAAAAACCATGGTTTTAAAGTAGCAGTATTTCTGCTTTATGGTATCCGCAAACATACCCTTAATGAAAAAAAATGATTGAAAGTTTTGAAGATTTACGCAAAAAATTAATTACAGTGACAACAAATCCATAGACGAATAAAATAACAAAAGTAACATAAGAATAAATATGTTTCCTTAATTTAATAAATTTTCTTAGTGCGGATTTAAATATACAAAATACTAACACACATTCATGTACAATAATGCAAAGTTTTAAAAATCGGTGATCCAAATCGATCCGCGTAGGGAATCCATTAAACTGATCCAAAACCGGTTAAATATCAAGAACTAGATGGTTCCCCATGAACTAATTGTTATTTACCAGCGCTTTCTTAATCAGAATATTTTATCAGAGAATTGGTCCCACTTTATTTTAAAATTATTTTAAATCTTCATATTCCTTAATTTATGAATTTTTTCTTCATTGTTTAACTAAGCCGGATCAACAATCCAGATCGCCTATCCCTACCTCTGATCCGTCTATCTGGACCGGTTTTACAAAGACGCAGTCCAAGTCACCAAACCATAGGATAAAAAAAAACCCACCTGAAGCTTTTAATTTGGGATATTTGTTAGTTAAAGGGTCCGGTTTTGAACGCCAAGTTCAAGCTTAATTTCATGTATACAAAACAAACAACTAAAAATTAAAATATACTATACACTCTCAAAAAAAATAATACGAGTGTAAAATATGAAATATAAATATTAATTTTATATTTCAAAAATAAATTATAATTATTTTTGTAAATTTCCCATAAATAAAATGAAAGAAACTCGTTTTCAAGAGGACTCGACACTTGTAATGAAATCGAAGGTGAGAATTCGCATGATCTTTGTTATCTCCTGTGACGTAGTATAATACATGCACTCTTGTTTTCAAGAGGACTCGACACTTGTTTTATTCCCTCTTCAAGTTGAGAATCACTTGAGTCGGGACTCTTTTTTTTTTTTGGGTTAATTAGTCCTTTTCAAGTTGAGATTCACCTAAGTTAGGAATTTTTTTTTTTCTTTTTTCTGGCTAATTAGTCCCCTTTTCAAGTTGAGAATCACCCAAGTCCGACTGGATAATACGGACTCAGAATCGTTGAGGGTCTTAACTCCTAACCCTAAGTTCGTGTTTTCACTGATCAAGACAAATTAAAATCCAAAGTCAAAAGGACATGAACATTCTAGTTAACAGGTAACAAAAAGAAAAAGAAAAAGAAAAATATGAACATTCTAGTTCTCGCTCATGTTCATTGAGCTTTTCTCTCTCTCACTAGAATACACAGACAAACACAAGCACTCACATGAAAATAAGAAACAAAGTTCTCATCGCGGTTGTCATCAGTTCTGACAAATAAAGAGTGTCTAACTTTATTCAAAATAGTGCTCCTTATGCATCATCCAAAATTACTAAATTTTAATTGAAAATAAAAACATCTAAATAAATCCCTTACAAATGCAAGCAAACCCATGCAGTCAAACAGTGAAGCAATCATCGACAACAAATGCATCACCTTATTGATTGCTTTCCACATCAATAATTTCATTCAGCAGAGTCCTCGCGAACAACTACAAATACAAAACCAAATTAAACAAGTCATACAACTGATTTTTTCCAAATTCATCAAAAACTAAAAGCAATCCGCATCAATACAACACAATAAAGAAATGTATTCAGTCTTACCATGGTTAATTATAGATCTCCCTATGCATTTCAAATTACTGCATATATTCCAATTTCTATCAGCCTTAGGAAGATGTACTTCCACCCAGGGCAAATTTACCTAACAGGTTCATTTGACCACCTCACTACGAATGGTTAAGATTTTCTCTACCAACAGGTTCATTTGACCACTTCACTACGAATGGTTCAGATTTTCTCTACCATCAAAACAGACTTCTTTCAAACAAATAGGTAACTTTTCTGTTTCATAAAGAATTAGGCAAATAGACACTTTTCCTAATGTTCAGTATTTAACATTTAAAATGGTTAAACTTATTCTAGGTATTCCAAGTCATGTCTCTAAGCGATTTGTCCACTCCCCACAATTATCTCCCCACAATTAAGCCCCTGAATCAAAATGATATAGCCCCTCAAGTCAAGTCCCAAACCAGAAGAATAAATGAAAAGCTCAATCAAGTCTTCTCAAGATTACATTTTTAGCTTTTTACAAGTCAGCGGACTCATATGTTGTTGTGCGTCCTGCCGACAGATCTATTCAACACATGGATTTTAAATCCAAAAATTTAGGGATCTATAATCTACGTTATAAAGATCATAATTTAAAAAAAATTTAATAAATTCTAAACTTTGAAATGATTTTTTCGAACTTTTTTTACGCCCTTCATTTTATTTACACCCTTTATATTAGGGAATGATCAGGTCCCTTGTTAGTTTATTCAAAAAGCAGAAGAATGTTAACATCTTAAAATTTTCTACAAATTCATTTCATACCAGAACCATCATAATTGATCCCTAAAAGGTGAACTTTTCAAGCATCATAATAAATTGGGTGAAATATTATGTCGTTATCCACACGAGCAGATAATTTGGATAGTGTGGAGAAATATGCCCTAGCACAATGTAGGATCATTTATCCCATTTAGGAAGAATCATTGATAATTCATGTATCTGAGAAATGCATACATAAGTTGCACCAAGTGGTTTACAATCATATTCCAACAAAACTGATTTTTTTGGTAAACAAAAAAAATGATTTCACCTAGTGAAGTGAACAAACATAGGTATAACCATACTTCAATAGGATCAAAAATAGCAAAACTAGAGAGAATGACCCCAACAGGAAGAAAGACTCTATCAAAACCCAATTTGAAGAAGGAATCCGTATCAATATTAGACCCCAGTGACATGGTAAGCAGTAATAGCCACAGCACTACTGATGTTCTGAATCTCCTCCATAATATCCAACAAACGAAAAAAGAACAGCAATGCTTCCTTGTCCCATCTAATGACATTCAGGTAATAGACCTCTATTACCAAAATGCCCCACAAAGGACCACATGAAAACCTTGGACCGTCAAGAGGGCCATGGCATTGATAACCATGCCTTCCCCTCCCCAAGTGGGCCTACTATAGGTCAGTGTTTTAAAATGCGGCCGCATCATTCAGGATGCGCTCGCATCCGGATTGCGTATTGGAGCATATGCGCTTTTGACAAATGCGTCCGCATCATGGCTGCATCCCGCATCGCATCGCATCAGACCACATCGTGCCACATCTGTTTCAGCGAAAAAAAATTTGATTTTGCCCCTCTGGGAGGGGCAAAATGGTCTTTTTGTAGTTCCAAAGTTTAGGAAACTGTTTGGGGGGTTACTATACCCCCTAAACGAAGATTTCCAGCCACTTTTGTGGCTTTTTTTGCATCAAATTGAAGGAAAAAAAAAATTTGCCGAAATTTTGTTTTTCATCCAAATCTTCAATTTGGCGGTTGTTTTATACTTGGATGTTCATTTGATGCCTTTGATTGTTGATTTGAGGATGTTAAGGTGAATTTGTGATAAGAAATTGGAGATTTCAAAAGCCGTAAAGAAATCGAGCACTACTTCATAGAGTCGGTAATTTTTTATTCCTTCTTGTACAATAATACTGTTATACTTATTTTTGGGGCAATGTCTTCTTCCCAATCTTCTAGTAACAAGGATCCGGCTTGAAAATATGCTAAACTAAAAAATCCGAAAGATAGAAATTGTGTACTATGCTTGCTCTGTGGAAATACTTATATGGGTGGTATTTTTCGACAAAAAGAGCATTTAGCCGGAATTTCTGGGAATGTAAGAGCATGCCCTCAAGCTACAGATGATATAAAAAAGGAAATTAGAGAATATTTGGATAGATTGAAAAAAGATAAAGAGAAAAAAGAAAATAAAAGAAAGGAATTACTTGATGATAAGCAATTATTTGATGACGTTGATGATGATAATGATGATGATATGTCTAAAGTTGCTATGAGGCAAAGGGGTACTCATACTCCAACCTCAAGAGAAAGGGTTATAAATATTGGTGGTAGCGCTGAGAGAAGAACACCTCTCTCTAAGGAGCCAATGGATTCTTTTTTCACCCCTAGCCTCGAAATTGTGGTTCAGGAGAGAAAGAAAAAAATAAAACAAACCACAATTGACAATAAATATAAGAAAGAGCAAAGGAAGTCAGTATGTAAGTGGATTGCAAAGTGGATTTACATGGCCGACATTCCTTTTAATACTATAACTCTGGATAGTTTTGCATGTATGGTCCAGGCAATTGGGCAATATGGCCCAGGACTTATTCCTCCTTCACTACATGAGGTTAAGGAGCCCTTGTTGAAGGATGCTGTATTTGATGTGAATAAAATTTTGATTTCTCAGAGAGAAGGGTGGGAGAAATATGGCGCCACTATTATGTGTGATGGTTAATCCGATGGGAAATCAAACAGGTAATTTGTTTGTTAAGTCTATTGATGCATCAGCCAAGTCACATGATGGTACATACTTATCTGGCTTGATGGATGAGATTGTCGATTTTGTTGGGGAGCAAAATGTGGTACAAATTATCACTGACAATGGTGCCAACTATGCTGCAGCTGGGCATTTTTTGACTTTGAAAAGGAAGCATATGTTTTGGACACCTTGTGCAGCTCATTGTGTTAATCTTATGCTTAAGGAAATGGGTACATCTTTATTTAGTAGGGTCATTTCAAAAGCAATGTTTGTTGTTGGATTTATTTACAATCACACTATAGTCCTAAGCATGATGAGGTCTTTTACAAAGAAGAGAGAATTAGTGAGACCTGGTATCACTAGATTTGCCACGTCATTTCTCACTCTTCGAAGCCTAGCCAAGCAAAAAAGTGCCTTGAGGACCATGTTTGCTTCAGAGCAATAGAGTCAAAGCAAATGATCAAAGCATAAGGATGGGAGAAAGGATGAGAAAATTATTCTGAATACATCTTTTTGGAGTCCAATAATTATTGCATTAGAGGTGGCTCGCCTTTTAGTGAGAGTGCTTCGATTGGTTTATGGTGATGCGAAGCCCACCGTGGGCTATATACATGAGGCAATGACTAGGGCAAAAACTGAAATAAAAGATGTTTTCAAGGATGATGAAAATATGCGTAAGGCTATACTTGAAATTATTGATAGGAGATGGGATATCCAGCTTCATAGGCACCTCCATTCAACCAGTTATTTTCTAAACCCATCTCTTCACTAAAAGCACCCATCCATTGAGTCAGATCGTATAATAAATGGTGGTTTCTGAGATGTGCTGGAGAGGTTGGTGCCAGACAAAGATATCCACGATGAGATTCAGAGCCATGAGTTGATTAAGTTCAGTTGGCCTTGGGAAACTTTGGGAGAGATATTGCCGCTCGAAATAGGGACACTACAGATCCAGGTAAAGGCCAAAGGCCCAAAAATAATCTTACTTGTCCTTACTTTATGTATAGTTTCATTGTTTATTTTATACCCTTAATTTTTAACTATATTCTAAATTATAAAATATTATACAACTACATGGTGGGCATTATATGGAAGCAAGATACCAAATCTACAGCATCTCGCTATTCGAGTGTTGAATCTCACATGCAGCTCATCTGGTTGTAAGCACAATTATAGTGCATTTGAGCATGTAAGTCCTTTACTCCTTATTCCTTAATCCTTATTTTTTGAATTTCAATTTTCTAATCTAAAATCTAATTTATCTGATTTCAAATTTCTACCACAGCTCCATACAAAAAAAAGAAATACGTTGGAGCAAAAAACGTTGAATGATTTGGTTTATGTGAGGTATAACGAGCGGCTTAGGGAGAGGTATGAAAATCGTACGAAGCTCAACCCTATTCAATTATATGAAGCTGATGGTGATTCTATAAGTGAGTGGACCGTGGATCCAAGACAAGAGAGTGTGTTTGAGGGTGAGGATCTTATATGGCTTGATGTCGAGCTAGCAACAGGGGTTAATGAAGAAGATCGACCTAACACTAGAGCACAAAGGAGTAGAGGAGCTGCTGAGTCTAGTCGCACTCGCACATTAGCTTCAGAGGTCAAGGAGGAAGCTGACTCAGAGGAGTCCGATGAAGAAGAATACATGGAGGCCGTCGAGGATGATATTGATGATGCGCATGACGACCCTCAAGATGACTTGTTTGATTGATATTTGAAAAAATGAAGTTCAAATTTCAAAATTGACTCTCAAAATGGATGATTGTATTAAGTTATTATATATTAACTATTAACTCTTCTTGAGCTTGACTTTTGATTTGTACTTTGCAATATCATTATTTTGTGCTTATGGTTGTACTTATGGTTATTGATGGTTGTGCTTAACTATAGTTGTGCTTATGGTGCAAATTTTTGCTGATGGTTGTTGATTGTTGAACGCTTTATGAAGTTGGTTTCAAGTTTCTAGTTTCTATCAGGGGATAGTGGATAACTGGATACAGAATCTGCGACAGCTAATAGTTTTGAAGTTAATCATCAAACTAAAATACCTACTATCACATATATCACCTTCATATTTTTTTCTATGCATTAACTTATTTTTTTAGATTTTTTAGAACTTTTTTACATTTATTGACCACGTCATCGCGATGCACCTGCATCCGGGTCGCATTGAGCCGCATCGGCCCCCACTGCATCAAGGCCGCATCCCGCATTTTAAAACACTGCTATAGGTACTCTTATTGTGCCTTAAGTGTCTCAAATGACCTATTCAACTAGACTATGGATTGCCAACAGAGCTAACATCAACGTTGAGCTTCAAGCAACCTTACAGTTGGAGACCAAACTGCATGGATAGTGCTACTGCTACTATGATTTGAACTGCCAGTCACAATCCTCCACTCTTGGGCTAGGTTTTGACCTATAATTCCACAGAATTCCTCATAGGAAAGGTTCAATGAGACAATCATGACCCTTAATAGATTACTAGCACAAAGGACTAAAACAAACCTCATTCTTCCTCTCGTTCCAATTGCTATGTCCAAGGTTGAATAGTTAATGAAATAACTTGCAGTTCCAGTCTTTCCAATTAGGCAATTACCAAGTCAAAGGTCAACTAGGCATTGGAGAAACCGCATAGCTCGTCTCTCTCTGTATATCACTGAATTGCTACTATGCATAGACTCCAAAGCATATGACATTTTCGCTGGAAAGGCGCACAAAATCAGCAGCCAAAGACCTCAGCAAACAATAAGGCTATACCAAACACACACCACAAAGATTGAGAATATCCATTCCCCAATGCTAAAGATGGTCCAATGTAAGATCCTACACAGAATAACCAGCCACCGAGAAGACAAGGATGTTCCAAATGCAGCAAGCCAATGGTCTCCCCCCATAAAATCTACAGATGCATAAACTAAGTGCAAATAATTGGACACCTATCCCCAAATTATCTAGACCCAAAGGCATGATAAATAATTCCTTTGAAGAACCCAAAGGCCGCATGACACCTCTAGCTCCACATCTCACATATCGGTAGGACTGATGTAGTTTGGTTTCTTAGAAGTTGAAGTAGAAAATTTGGTATGTTAGTTTTGTAAAGAATTTGAGGGAATTTCTTTCTTTATTATTGTAGAGAATATAAGTGTATTTCTCTATCCTTCATGAATCAAGAACTAAGTGGGGGTGTAAATAGGTGGGATCGAGCCTGACCAGGACCCTTCCAAATCGATGGCCAAGGAAAGTATAAAAAAGTGTGTGTATGTGCGCCTGTGTTACATGTATATATATATATAGGTCGACCTAACCCAATTGTCAGCCCTAGAACTAAGGACTCCTCTCAATTTGCATCCATTGTTCTTTCATAACAGGCCCCAACTGAAACCCCAAGATCATTGGCAAAGTGAGCTAGTCAAAGGAAGCACTTTTGAAGAGGTGCCAACTATAGCAAAGCCCCAATACCACTTATCCACTAATTTCCTATTAATCAAACTAATGAGTTCCACTTTTAATTCCTTCATCTCTTTTGGCCAAAATTTTGTGCCACCTAAACAAGTGGAACTTATATATGATGATAGCCTCTTTTTGAAGGCATAACTTTCCACTGGGATGCCCATTTGAGGTGATCCAAAGCTCAAATCAAAGATCTCTTCAAATCTACAACCTCTATCTCTACGTTTATCATAATCAGAGATGTTTTTGGGCCTCAAGTTGTGTTCTAAGCCTGCTGGTAATGTTAGTTACGAATTTTGCTTCCATAGTGTGTTAGGTTATCTAATCTCTAATGATTTCCTAGTTGTAATGAATTTATAAATAGCATCTCTAGGAACAAAAGTTCTATCATGTGCAGATTACAACCCTTAGAATTATCTTCTACTTAATTGGGAACATCCATGACTGTTTAAGAGTTCATGTACGTGTAGATTAGGATTTGGTAAGCACTATATGTAAGGGCCATTGGCCAAAAAAATACAATTTTTTAGAAAAATTTTAAGTTTCCAATTATAATGATAAGCGACATTTAGAGGAGGGATTCCTCAACTCTTTTTGTAGAGAGAGTGATCCTTCAACTCTAGCTTAAGATTGGCAGTCTCCACAAGAAGTTAGAGCATCTTCTAGGTTCTAGCCCTTCGTTTGTTGCATATTCCCATTTAAGATCCCCCATAACAAATTCCACAACTGTTCCAACCCTTCAATAGACCATAGCCAAACCTTGCCAAACCCTTGGTAAACTAAGCTCAAAACCTATGCCTATCATCCTTACCCTTCAAATTTATTTAAACCCTATATTTGCCCTCATTCAACCCTATAATCGACCTCATTATCTTCCTATCTTGCTAGATCCGCCAAATTCCGGCAAGCATAACTCCTACAAAAACCTTGAAACCTAACCTAAACCTTGCTCTTACCTAACCCAAACCATGGCAACTCCTTCATTCGAATCTCACATTATCCAATTCCATCCCCAATTAGGAAAATTTCATAAGGCCCACACCCTACTGTGCTAATCTATGAGAAATCTAGAACCCTTAGAACTCCTGAATCCTAACCTAACTAGACTTCCTAATCATACCCAAACCCTTTCTCTATAACAACCAACTCTGTCTCACACTCATGAAGGAACTAAGCCGCTTGGGGTCCTACATCAATATTACTATTGTTTTGCCATTAAATTGGCCCTTATAAATCCGCTCCAGTTTATTTCACATTGGTGAGTCAACATCATCATTCAAGCCTTATCCCAACTATATGGGGTCGACTATACACAAATATTGTTCCGCCATCCAGCTCTGTCAAGGGTCATACTCTCAGTTAGACCATAAGGCACAATATCTCTTCTCACTACTTCCGTCCATGTCCTTTTGGCACTTGCCCTTTTAGAGTTTTCCACCTGAACCAAATTACCATTCCTAACTGGTGTTGTTCTAAGTCGACGCTGCACATAGCCAGCCCACATAAGTCTACTTTCCCTCATCTTATCACCTATTGGAGCCACCCATAACTTCACTCGGATGTATTTATTCTGAATTCTATCCTTCGTTGTCTTGCCACTCATCCATCTCAACATCATCATCTCAGCTGCACTCACTCTATCGATATGTTGTTTCTTGACTACCCAATATTCCGTCCCATAAACCATAGCTGGTCTTACAGCCGTCCTATAAAACTTCCATTTCAGTTTCATTGGTATTATATCACATTGGAAATTGATATATAATATACATTATTAGATCCTAGATTGCTTGCATTTGTAGATACTGTCTAATGACGCACAGAGTTCCACAATAACTGTACTGTTTTATTGTTGAACGGAAACCATCCCAAAAAAGAAAAAAAAACAAAGCTTTTTCCCTAATCCACCCTCTCAACTTTAACATGGTAGGCAGTGACAAATGCCGCAGAAAACTAATTTTAATCTAGGGATACTAGGGTGACAATGAGAATCTCTTATTTTAATCTAGGGATACTAGGGCGACAATGAGACTCTCAATTACTAGCACAAATACATAAAAGAATGAAATCATGACCATGAAAGCTAATAAAATGAGATTTACATTTAAATATCAAATTATATATAATTCTGCAACCTAAGCAAGATAAAACCTACGATGGCTTATTTCCTCGTGTCATCAAGCCTTTTTACTAGCATTATGCAATTGATTAGAGCTATTTAGCAATATGTAATTGGTTTAGCATTATGCAATTGATTAAAGATATTTAGCAATATGCAATTGATTAAAGATAAAAAAAATACACCAATCTTCATTAACAATACCAATAAAATCAAAATCAGAATCAGAATCCTGAGCTACTAAGATGAAATTCAGAAAGAGCAATCTAGTAAATTTTACAGCTAATAATCAATAAATTTCAGGAAATAAAACCTAAAATTTTTGCCAAAATAAAACCCTAGGCACAATAATTAACCAAACAAAACCCCATCCAAGTCATAAAACCATAAGTAAACCCAAAAAAAACCCTATCCAAGTTATGAAAACCCACAAGTAAACCCAGAAGTACAGATCAACATGAAAACTCAGGAGGCGTAGAGTTGAATGATAACCTGGCTTCTCGGGCTTGCCATCAACCCACTTTGAAACAGAGAAATGGACCTTCTCTCGAGAAAGGGATTCACTTCTGTACGGCTCTTTGAGGCACTGACGAACTAGCGAAGCACAAATGTTTGAATATCTAACATATGTCATACCTGCCGCTCTCCAAAAAGGAACAGCTCCACCAGAAGATGCCATTGTTTCTAGGGTTTGTCTGCTATGAAAATGGAGAACCAAACCTTAATTTATCTCCTCTCAAAGTAGAAATAGTAATAGCTCTGCAACGGAGATGGAGTTTGTTCCTCGATAGGTTGTTTGTATGTGGGACTATGGACGGCTGCGATCGCGGGATTGAACTCGTTATGTGATTTATATGGAGCATTCGTTGGGTAGACGAACTTTATGTGTATTTATCGGGTGAATTGGTAGTCATGGGAAGGTATTGACCAATATGACTATAAAAAAAATATGTCGTCAATGGGCCTATTACCCTTTGTTTATAAATTGAATGGTGATTAGACTATTGAGAAAAGGTTTTCCTTGGTCTTAGAATTGTAGTATACTTTCCTCATTTTATTACCAAATACTCTGATGGGTATAAAGATTGAGGATCCGAATCAGATTTAGTTGGTGGGTGATCCAGGTCTCTCTTCCCGAATAACCCAATACTATTATTTGGTTGCTTTTTTCCTGATTTTTAACTATGGAGCCTAGCTGAATTGGCGATCTAGATCAATATAATCCAAATCCCAATCCAGGCTTAAACCGAAGATATGATTGGTTTTGGCCAAATGAAGTGAGATTTTTCTAGAAAATTCAAGATATGTGATAGTTTAGGTTTAAATGGAGGAGTGGCTCATCTCAAACCTCTACTCTTTTTTTTTTTAAAGCAATCTACTATACTTCTGATCAAATTTCAAATAGCTGAGAAAGTGACAATGTTACAAAAGACTATCAAAATAGATATAATCATGAGGTAGAATAATCGATATTTTAGGTGTGATTTTATAAATAAATGAAATGTTAGACTTGGTTTTGAATCCCCAAAAAGTTGAATCTTTAATTTTCTAAATCTAAAGTCATATTATGTGTGAGGTCTAAACATTTTGAAAAAATAAAATAAAGGAATTCACACAAACAATGTAATATAAGCCTAAAACAAGAGAATATCGTGAAATAGAGTGAGGTTTGTATAACGCTAAGACTCTAAAGAATAAAAGTAAAGTGTACCTTTCAAATAGTATCGAGAAATGTGGTTTCAAAAAATCTATGTAATAACCTTAAAAGATATTTCTATGTCAAATTATAACATTTAAAGCTTAAAAAATGGTGTAGATTGAACAGATTTATGAAAAACTTCAAAATTTTGAAAATCAATGATAAAAAATACAATATTTTAAAATTTTGACATCTATTTTCTTTTCATGTCCATATATTTTAAGGTTGAAAAGTTCAATTTGAGAATATTTGGCCATCAATTGTGAAATTTTTGAGGTGCGCCCAATTGGATTGTTTAGAGGTCGCACTTCTATAAACTTTTTCCCACGAAAGATGATTGCCATCGCGCGTCCCCTCCACCCCTTTCGTGGCTAAAACTTGGAAGTAGAGAGAGAAACAAGAGAGAGAGCGTGAGAAATAAGAGCGAGAGGGTGAGGATAATGTTGTTGACACTAGTAGAGGGTGGAGTTGCTTTAAGGCCCTCTTCAACAGGAAGATTCTCTCCCAAAACTCGAATTTTCAGAGCTTCTCTCACTGTCCCGAACCCCCAGCCCTCATGGAAGTTCAGCATTCCATTTAAAAGGTACTCTCTCTCTTATTTTTAGGATTTTCACTCTCTAGATTCCATTGTTTTAGTCTCTTTGGTCTTTCATATATGATAAGCTTTTTGTTGGTTTTTCTTACCCAGAAATCCTTGGTATAGACTCATTGGTCTTGTGAGCTTTAATTTGCTAGGTGCTATGATAATTGAATTTGTCGTCTCTCTCTCTGATGGGCAAATTACGGAGTTATGTTGCGTTGGAAACTATATTATGTGAGACGCTGTTGATTTTTACAGTGTTTTGGATTTTCATTTACTGTTGTTTTTTACTATTTTTCAAGATTAATTAGTTTATGTATCACTACCTTTTTTCATGTTTTATTTATTTGATTTGGGTTGATAAGTTATTGTTTTCATTTTAAAGGTAGGGTGATGCTTATTGGTTTTTTGGGGTTTTTCTACTATAGGGAATTTGATTTTCTGATGAATTTGTATGTCTATTGCAAGTTGAAATGCTCTGTTTACGGAATTGAAATGTGTTGAATTGAATTGTATTCTGTTCAGTTCATGGGACTTCTTATATTATACCTAGTGAAATTTCATTTCTCATTATTGGCCTTTCAAAACTCAGTCGAGATTACTCGGACTTACCGTGTAACTCGGCCTCGGCACCCTGCCAAGGTGAATTTTTAAGACAAAATTGGGTACGTTAAATACACTTGGAAAATAAAAAATTTTGTTAGTAAATCATCGGTCGATGAGACAATGATGTATAAATAAAGTTTCAAAAAGACAAGGATGCTTAAATAAGTTTGTATATGATTTTTATGTTTTTATAATGATTTTTTAATTTTCTTATTCATTATCATCAAAGCTTTTTTCCAACTATTTGGGGTTAGCTACACGAATCCTGATCCGCCATTTTGCTATATTAAGGGCCATACCCTTTGGTACAACATGTTGCTTACAGGGAAGGGCCTAGCATAAGCAGATAGCATATATTCCAGATTCATGAAAAGTTTTGGCAAAGTTTACATTGTCTGCCTACTTACCAGAACCCACCCTTTTTACCCGGGTTTGGGACAAGTTAAGGGAAAGTTTAAGGTCCTCGCTCTTCTAAGACTATTTTGGATTTCTTATTATATGCTCTTAATTTCTACTTTCCCTTTATTTTGGATTTTTCTGGATTGTTTTGAGCTATAGATCATTTTTTTTTCGTAATCCATCTTCTATACACTTTTTTCAATCTTTTATAGACTTTTGATGATGTTTATAACTTCGTTTTGCTTTTTACTGAATTCTATTTATTTTTTTAACCTTTTTTTGCTAATTTTTGGGCAACTTATGAAGGACTTAGGAGTGTATGCTCGGACTCACCCAAGTTACTTCTCTTGGGCAGGGGCTGAGTCCCGATCCCAGGCCGAGTTTTTTAACGTTGGTCATAATTCAAAAATGTCATGTTTGTTATGACCATTGGATTGCTATGAAAATGACATGTAGACATGCAAAAAGGAAAATCCTTTTTCTTTGTTGTTTTGCTAATCTTGATCTACCACCGTCCCCTATCTTGTTTCCTATTGTTGTTACCTTACTGAATCTCTGTCTTGTTATTGTTGTTAGACTGTCATATTAGGTTTACCTTTCTCTAGGAATAGAAACTCCAAGGTTCTCTAATTTTGGGCAACTTTTGAGCCTTTATTAGGCTCATGAAGGACTCAGGAGAGTATGCTTGGACTCACCCAAGTTACGTCTCTTGGGCAGGGGTCGGGTTCCGAGCCTGGGCTGAGTTTTTTAATGTTGGTCATAATGCAAAATTTCATGTTTGTTATGACCATTGGGTTCCTATGAAAATGACATTTAGACATGCGAAAAGGAAAATCTTCTTTCTTTGTTGTTTTGCTAATCTTGATCTGCCACTATCCTTGTTTCCTATTGTTGTTACCTTGCTGATACTCTGTCTTGTTATTGTTGTTAGACTGTCATAATAAGTTTCACTTTCTCTAGGAATAGAAACTCCAAGGCCCAGATATTTGAATGCTGCATCAATCACCCAATGATTCACTTCAAGTGGAGACGGAATGGCTGGTTAGACCATCTGCTCTCAGTTTGCAAATTTTATTGTATGCCCTTTTTAGGCAATCATTAATGATAAATTTCCTCTTCTTTTCACTAAAAGCAGTCTTTGGAGAAACTTGTATTTCTACTACAGAATTGGGCTTTGGTGGAGGACCTTGCTTAATAGACTACTTACGTGACACCCCAAAATATTCAAAATTACAGCAGCCTGTTATCTTCGTTACCGACCAATGTTTCTCCTTCAAGGAGGTTATTTTCTGAATTACCCCTTGCATCATCAATGTTTGAGCGAACTTCCAGTCATGTTAATTAGCAGCCTTATGACGGTTGTTGTGTTTAGCCTACCCCAAATAGTTGGGAAAAGGTTCTGATGATGATGATGATGACGTTTGTTGTGTCTTACTCCAGTGTTGCATGGGTGTAGTGCTAGGATCATCTTACTTCAAATGATTAGATGAATTCTTTACCTTGTGACGTGTATGACTTGAATTCCTTGGTGGAGCAATGCCGATCCATTTTTATATTTGATGCCCTGGTCCATAGTTGGTTCAAAAGGGAATGTGACTTTTTTACATCATCATCATCCTTGTGTTTATTTGCTTTGTTGGTTCAGTTGGGCTGCCATAATTAAAGTCTGAGAGATTGGGAGAATTTGATTGGTGTATTTGTGTGGTCTTTTCTGTTTCCAGTTATAGAAATTGCTCTATTTAGTGGCTTATTTGTGTTGATTTCTTTCCTGTTTTCTAAGTTTATGCTTTGTGAGGCCATCCTTGAGGTCAAATGGAGGAAAGTGGAGTTCTTTTTGTAGCCAGCCTCTTTGATTGAAGGATAATGGGAGGGATGCCATGGCTTACAGAAATGGGACTTTAGAGGAAATTAGGTTAAGCATGTATATGAATAGAATTACAATACCATTCAAAAGAAAAGAAAAACAAAATAAAGGATTTATTGGCAATCTTAGTCTCAGTAAGCCGAGATACCCTTGATTATATGGGTGCTACACATTAACTTGCTTTACTGCAGATAAAGAATCATGAGGCCCCATATAAAAAAGTATGAAAGAATATTCAAACTATGGAGGGCCCAGTTTCTATCATTTGCCTGCAAAGTAAAATAAATCAAATCCACATTATGTAGTATCCTCCTTTTTTTCTTTAAGATACCAATGAGGGTGGCAAAGAAGTTTGAGCAAATACAGAGGGATTTTTATGGCGTGGTAATTGTGAAGATCATAAGGTTCATTTAATGAATCGGGACTTGGGAGAATTTTTCTATATCTTGGAGACAATGGGGATATGAAGTTTTCGTCCTAGAATACTCGTGGGTGTAAATAGGCAGAGTTCCTGATGGACTGCTAGTGAGGTGAAACCCCATCTGTGGCTTATTTGGAACTTCATCTTTCCTCTTAGAATATTATTTTGACTTGAATACAATGAGTAAAAAAAATACTTATGGCAGATTATCTACAACATCAGGACCTTCAATTTGACAATGTACATCACATGTCTTGGGAGGAGAAGATGATGACACATCTCCTTATACATTGGACTTTTGCTACAAAGCATCTAGGTTTTTCTCTGAGTCTTTTTAGACATTAATCCACTAATGCAGTCTTTGGTCAACCAACTATTTATTGTACCAAACTTACCAATAAAACCTTTGTATGGGAAATCATGATTTAACTCAACAAACTACATTTAAAGATTTGAACATTCCCTTGAGGTCATACTCTATGGAGAAACACTTTTTACCAGTGTAGGATTGCCCTACTCAGGCTGGGTAGTACCCGCCATGGGTCGGGTCCGGGTTAACCAGCGTGAGTCGGGCAGGTATGGGCTAGGCAAAAAATGTTTAAAAAATAAAATAAAAATATAAAAAATATGTTTAACACAAAATTAAACAAAACACATCTAAATGAGGTTAAAAAAGTAGTGAAAACATAGATTTTGAAAAATGAATTGGTGACCAAGGATTTTAGAAATTATCCAAAAAAGAAGGAAAATGAAAAAATTAGTATTCATGGTGAAAGTACTTCCCAATCTTTGCCAAAATGATAGAAACCATATAAAACCACATTACATATAAATTTGTTATTTTTAGGATTTCTAGTACTTTTTTGTGAACTTTTTTCAAACTTGGGAACTTGACCACCAAAACCGCGTTAACTGGACCCACCCAGGGGCTGGTTCCAGGTAACCTGGCCAGGTCCAGTTTGACCTAGCAGGTTTGTCTAACATGGTTTTTTTACAATTATTTGGAGCATCTGGAAGGAAAGCAACACCCACATTCTTTAATGGTAGAAACCGGAATGCAAAAGATGTAGTAGAGAAGTTTTTTTTTTTTCTTTTTCTTAATTTTTTTGTTATAATATCTTTGCTCTTGGCAGGGATGAATTTGAGGAATCTACTATTTGAGACTCTCTGAGAGGTTGGGAATCAATGGTCTAATGGTGTTGCACTTGTGATAAAGGGGGTTGGTGGGCACCACCACCAAGAGGCATGCTTACGCTCAACTTCAATTGTAGCTCCTGGGGCAACCCATGGTTGGGTGGGGTGGCATTGTTAGAGATTGCTAGAATACAATTGTGATGACTCCTACTCATGACCGATATGCATTTGTGACTAACAGTGGTATATAGCTTGGGTGCTTCCTGTTTTGGGGAGATATTGCTTATAGTAAGGACCTGAGATATCCTGTTTTGGGGAGATTATTGCTTATAGTGAGGGCTTGAGATATCTTTCCAACAGACCTTCAAGAGGGAAATAACAAAGTAGATTTATTGGCCAAACAAGGGGTACACCCAGATTATGTTATCTGGAAGTTTTGTAGTAGCAAGGCATTTTGATTAGTTTATTTTGGTTTTTCTTATTATTATTTTTTTTCACAACAATGACTGATAGTTGATTATCACTTTGTATGATATCTGAATACCTCATGAAACCTAAACTTGAAAACAAGGTATTTCCATGTTCTTTGGCATTTTATTTACTTATGTTCTATCATATGAAACTTGATTCATACTTATTAAAAAAGTAAAAAGAAATAAAGATTTGACATTGCCTCTTTTTTTAGTATTTGGTATCAAAATTTATTTTGAAAAGCATTTCTGAGCAGCTTGTCTTTGATATTTTTGCACTTGCGATGTAGCTAAATGAATTTCTTTCCAGATCGTTTCAAGAGAAAGGAAACTCAGTTTTTGATCCCTTGGGTTTCTACAAGGAAACCTGTTCTGTCTCAAGCACATGGAAGATCTTTTTATTGCAAAGCACATCAAGTACTAGACAAGAGAAGTCTTCCCCATCTCGTGGTGTTGCAGGTTTGGACAATGTACCCATATTACTACTTTACCTTATTGTGCATGATCTATTGGATGTCAAATTTTTGCAAGTTCTCTACCATTTTGAGTACTGGTAGTTCACATTCTGGATGAACCTTCTAGGCCTTGATGCTGTTTAAAAGACTTTTTCATAGTTTTTGGCCTTTCTGCGAAGTGTAGCTCATCTTGGCCTTCAAATAAGTATGCCTATTAATCTGTTATGTTTGGTAACAAATTATGAAATGGGCTTAAAGTTACTTCGACATTCTGAAATAATATCTATGTTGAATGGCTGCGGAGTTAATAAGATACCATGAATCTGCATCTAAATATGCCTTCCTTAATCAGAGTGAATTGAGCATGAGCCAACATAACTGGTAAATGAATGAAGGAGAAAGAAATGTATGATATACAGTTTCATTTTGATTCAAATTGGTACATTTCATGTGCATTCAGTTGTGGGAAGTTTTAGCGCATGGCACCCACCACTTGCAAACACCATGGGGCCCATGGCCACTGCCACATGGAATCACCACGTGCCCCCCATCAGAATCCAACTTTTTGATGGATTCAGGGCCAAAAACCAATTCTAAGCCCATTCAAATCCTCCTAGAAAAAATGATGTGGAGAACTGAAAACAGCCCAAATCTGATTGATCTAGGGTCCATTGAAATGGATGGTCTGTATCGCATGTTGAGATGGAATTCAAGATGGCGCATTTTTAGCCTCCAAATGGTTTCTTCCAGGAACTTGATCTTGGGGCTCACAAGGATGGATTTGTAGATTTATGGGGTCCTTAGAGTATCCAAAATAAGAAGGAAAAGGAGGTGCGATACTCTTCAGGCTGGTCCCCCATCAAAGCAAATACTTTTCCTTTAGTTATTTCTTCAACCTCTTCATTGGAAGATGTAAAAGAGAATGCACCAGATGTCTTTTGGGGTCCATTTGATGGTTGTATGCTGTGACACTGAAGTTGCCATGACTAGTTTGCAACTTTCCAAACAAATTTCAGAATTCAAAAATTGGAGAACGGGTTTTTATATATATATTTTTTATGTGTTTGTGTGTGTGTAAACTTGTTGGTTGACTCTTACTCGTCATTGGCAGCTGCAATTGAGGACAGCTCCATTGATATTGGTGATTTTTTTAAGGGCCCCCTTCCAGGGAAGTTCCTGAAACTCCTAGGTCTGCTTGCCCTTTCAAGAGTTGGAACATATATACCTCTGGGTGGAGTCAACAGGGAGGCCTTCACTGGTACATTGGATCAGAACAGTCTTCTTAGCACTTTGGATTCTTTTTCTGGTGGGGGTATTGGTCGGCTTGGGATATGCTCCCTTGGTATTGTTCCCTTCATCAATGCCCAAATTGTGTTTCAGCTTCTTACACAGATATATCCTAAGCTACAAGAACTACAGAAAAAAGAGGGTGAAGCAGGACGAAAAAAAGTTCTCCAATACACTCGCTATGCTTCTGTTGGATTTGCAATTGTTCAGGTAAAACATTTGTGCCCTGTGGCATGATTTATTAAATAGAAGATAATATTGCTATGAACTCTGTTTATCTTTTTAATTTTTACGTGATCATTTCTTTTATCATATTGTTACGAATCATTTCTTGTTTACACTATGATTTTGACACTCTTAAAAGATATAATGACAGGTATACTCGGAATTGAATTTTTCAGTAATGTTTTGACCTTAATGAGCGGTTCATAAATCATAATGTGTATGTTATTATTGCTAATTGAATTCTTGTTATGCCGTGACTATGCCATTGTCTTTTTTGACATTAATAGGATAACTGTCATCCTTTTAATGTTTTGTAAGTTGGTTATTTGACTCTAGATTCTTGCCCTTAATTTGGCTTATGTGCACTGTGAGGACCTTGGAATTTATCATAACATGAAAAAATTAAAATACATGCAGCTGGTTAGCAAATTGGAATTTATCATAACATGAAAAAATTAAAATACATGCAGCTGGTTAGCAAAAGCCTTGATATAATGTACACAGTAAAGTTATTGCCACCTCTATCCCCTTAGTGCCACCTGCTTGTTTCACCATCCCTAAGCACAAACCAGTGGCTCCATGATAGGGATATACCATAGCCAACCCCAAGGATTCCTCAATTATAAACTGTATCACATGATTGTCATCTGAAATCAGCATTTTAAGTGTTCATATATGTGACTATGAAACTTTTTGGGGTATCTGATGGTGGTGGTGGCCAGCTGTGTATGGTATAGCATTCATAACCTGTCCATGCTGTATTTTCCCTTTGTGCTTTTGGTGTCAATTAGAGGCATTTGAGGTTTCATTTGCCTTCCTACTTTACATTGCTTTTTTATTTTTTGTTCTTTCATAGATGTCTTTGCTGTGTCTTATACATAAGCATAACATAATGTTTTCCTCCTATTGTCATGGCAGGCTATAGGTCAAGTATTGTACCTTCGTCCATATGTCAGTGACTTCAGTACAGAATGGGTGTTATCGACAGTGACATTATTGACCTTAGGTTCTGTATTTACCACTTACTTAGGGGAGAGGATATCAGACCTAAAGCTCGGGAATGGAACATCTTTATTAATTTTCACAAGCATCATTTCATATTTGCCAGCGTCATTTGGAAGGACAGTTGCCCAGGCATTTCAGGATGGGAACTATATTGGTCTTGCTGCAATTATTCTATCATTCTTTCTTTTGGTTCTCGGTATTGTGTATGTCCAGGTAATTCAACCATAAACACATAAAGGGATCGTATATTATAAGACCACTTACTTTGGTATAAGGAGATCACAATCAGCCCCATCCATAAGATGTGAAATCTAACAGCTTAGGAAGTGTCACAGAGTTGGTAATTTTTCTTTTTTTTGGGACTTTGAGCCCTTGTCGATAGCATGCCTCTAACCGTCGAATTTCACATCCAATGGCTTTGGGTGAATGTGTCCTCCATTTACTAGAAATAAATGCTCTTATAGTGAACTTCTCCATATATAAAAAGGGAAAATTACAAAAAAAACCCAAGTATACATTTCCTACGCAACTTACCCCCAACCTACTTACCCCCAACCTAACTTTTTCTCTCATTTTTTACCCCAAAACATACTTTCCTAGCAAATACCCCCCGAACCAAAAAAAAAACAAAAGAAGACTGAACTACCCTAACACTTTTACCCATGCCTCTCTCTCTCCTCTTTCCCTTGTTCGGTCAAAACTACGGTCTTGCAGTCAAAACAAGTTGTCCGACACTTTTCGTTCTGGTCAAAACTGCGGTCCGACAGTCAAAACAAGTGGTTCGGCACTTATCAGTCTAGTCAAAACTGCGATCCGGTAGAACAAACATGCGGTCTGACACTTTTTTTTCTGGACAAAAGTGCGGACTGGCAAATTGAACAAGCAGTCCGGCACATTTTTCCTGGACAAAATGCGGTCCGGCAGAGAATGAACGCGATCCGGCATGTTTTTTAGTTGAATGGGGTCCGGCAATGGGTTCATGGCGGTCCGGCAGCCTAGGTGGCTTTTGGTACTATACGTATGCCCATGTGAATGTCAAGCCAAAATTAATTTTGTTGGTACGAAAAGGGGTATTTTCGTCAAAAAAATGTGCCTTTTTGTACTTGGGGGGTATTTGCTAAGAAAGTATATTTTGGGAAAAAAAAAAAATGAGAGAAAAAGTTGGGTTGGGGGTAAGTTGCATAGGAAGTGTATTATTGGGGGTTATTTGTAATTTTCCCTATATAAAACACCTATCAGTCCCAACTTTAAAAACAATTTGTCTGAAAGTATGGAATGAGACTTACCTGACTTATGTTCAGAATACGTAGGGGCAATCAGTAGGGCCAGATAACTACTTTTCCCTTCACGGCTATTCTGGGTTATATATGGGGAGTGATTTTATGCAATTTATAGAAATATAATGTAACAATCTTAAAAAATCATGTTGGGTCATTTGCTTGACCTTAATTCTTACACACTATTTTCATTCTTATTAACAATTATAAAAAAAACAAAATTGAAAACACATCATAAAAAGTAAATGTTGAACCCAATTAACATAGGCTGTCTGTTCGGTGAGATGCTCAGATCTAGGCCATAGAGGGATTATTTTTCTTTTAAAATTTTGTAGATGGTTTTATTATCATTAGATAATAATGTTAAAAAAATATATATATATGATTTTGAGTTCGTTAAGGCCTAGATCTCAAAGTTCACCAAATGGATTGTTTGGATTCATTGTTAGGGGGGTTCCTTTTGAATCTAGGGTGTAAAGGGAATTTTATTTTTTTTGGTTTAATTGTTGGGATGTGTTGTATGTACAAAAATTGGCATCATACAAATAGTACAAACATAGTTTTCTAGATGTGTGGTTTCATACTTTCTTTATATTACAATGGCACAGTGGCATGAAATCACTCCTCTATATGTGTGTGTGTGTGCGTAGGTTGCCCCATTTCCTTTGGGAATCTCAGGTGCCTGGAGGTTATTTATTTATTTAAAAGAATTGGCTGCCCATATTTTTTTATTGAAAAAAATGTGAAACATAGGGGACAACTGAGTTGCCTGTATCTTGAAAATCTTTGTTTCAAATAATCAGCACGAGGCTAAGATAGTCTTGTCAACTTATCTGTTCTGTTTGCAATAGCTCAGGGAAGATATTCTGTAATTTCAGAACATTGTTTTTTTGAAAATGCGGATACAGGTGTCTTATGTTTTGGTTGCAAACGCCCATACTGTTTAACATCTTTATTGAATATGAGAAATCGATGTCACTTCTTATTGAGAGTTTGAGTTCTTGGTTATAGGAAGCTGAAAGAAAGATTCCATTGAACTATGCTTCAAGATATAGTAGCAGAAGTGGGGGCATCCAAAAATCTGCCTATCTTCCTTTCAAGGTATCTTATAACTTCTGCTTTTAATGAACTCATTTGAGCATATCTTTTCTAAGTGGGCTGTTGATAATTCAACTCATGGCATGACAATTTTTGCTAATATAATAATTAGCAAAAAAAGTAAAAATAATCTGCTAATGAACTCCATGATATTTTGCTATTCAGAATTTTCAGTCTCGGGCCACATATATGTATATTTGATTTTTGGGAAATTTGATATATCCTTTTCTGATTTTAAAATGGGCAAAGTTTCTAATGTCTGATGGAAGATTACTTTCTATTATTCACCAATTCTTTATGTTGATTTAATTTAATACTTGATGGTTAATCCTGCATGATTTTAGTCCTTTCTTCTTTTATGAATTCAAACCATTGGATTAAGATCCAGAGTTGTTCATATCACATGGGTATTGCCTTTCCCTTTTATGGCTTGTTCTTGTGTTGGGTTTTTCCTTTTGTGTCGCACAACTGCACATAATTTCATATAAATTTAGGGTTTCTCAAATGTGAACACCCTTAATGGTAGAATTTAACATAATAAAGAGGTGTTAATTATTACTGTGCCAAATTTACCCTTTTCTTTTCAATGTTGTTTACTTATCAAGGGAATTTTCATCATTTATGGGGGGCATTAGTGGTTTTTTACAGAACTAGTGTCATAGTACTTAATCTATATCAATTGCTCTTGCTCTTTTGGAAAAATATCACTAGTTCATTCTATAAATAATAAAAATGCCCTCAAAAAGTAAACATGAAAAAAAAAAAAAGTGAAGGAATTTTGTGAAAATAACCATTGATGCCTTTTCTAATGCTAACCTCTCTACCAGTGAAGGGTGTTCATATTACAAAAGCCCATAAATTTTTAGTAAATCCTAATTGTGCATTAATAGTCAAATTATTATATAAATAGGGTGTTCATATTATAAAAGCCCATAAATTTTTAGTAAATCCTAATTGTGCATTAATAGTCAAATTATTATTATTATTTATATAATTGATTTTAATGTAGGAAAATAACGAAAAATTACAGATTGATAGTCATAGATTGTTGAAATTTTTTCTTATTGTTTCTTTTGATGAGTGAAAATTTTTATATTAAGGGGGGAAGAGAAAATTTCTTCTGTTGGTTTCGCTAAACCTTTGTACTTCAACTTGAAATTTTGGCTTTCCCTCTTTGTGTTTCTCTTGTGATAGACTTTTTTGTACGCCTTCGAGTTTGTAAGAGGGTAGAAAATCTCATTTGAGCAGGTAAATGGTTCAGGAGTAATGCCCATCATATTCTCCACTTCATCTTTGGCACTTCCTGGTACCTTAGCACGTTTCGCCGGCTTATCTGCTTTGAAGAATGCTGCACTTGCTTTAAATCCAGGAGGTAATGGCTTCATCTTTCTCATTATTTGATTGTGTACCGAACGATCTTTTGATTCTAATATATTTGCAACTTTCCTTATCAAAGTTGTCTCTCTCTGGAATCAAATAATGACACTCAGTGTTCCTAGCTCGTATAATGTTGATGATTGGTGATACAAACGCGTATGTCTTGTTTAAAGTATTGCTGGTGTATGCCTCTTTTTTTGGTGAGGATGAGTTTATGACTGATGATCATCTCTTTAACAGGTGGTCTTTACCTTCCCACTAACATATTACTAATAGCATTCTTCAATTACTACTATACTTTCCTTCAATTGGATCCTGACGATGTAAGCGAGCAATTAAAACGCCAAGGTGCCTCTATTCCTCTTGTGCGCCCAGGAAAAAGCACTGCTGCATTCATAAAAACTGTAAGTCCTAACTCATGATTTCTATCTTTCCCTTGTAACAAAATACTTCTCTTAGTAACAAATACATAATGGATGAGAAGAAAGTGGCATGTGGCTGGTGAAATATATACAATATACAGTCTGTGTATGGTATATGGTTCGCAGCTGGTGCATCCACCGTCCACTATCCAACGAAGGATACTGGAGATCAGCCTTACCGGGGTCTCTGCAGAGGCTTATTTTTTATCTTTTAGTGATGAGCCCAACAAATGAGTTGATCTTAGCTGGTGGTTTTGCTATTTTTGCAGGTTTTAGGGAGGATTTCAGTGCTCGGTTCCGCCTTCTTAGCAGTAATGGCAGCGGGCCCTGCAGTGATTGAGCAAACAACACACTTGACTGCATTTCGAGGCTTTGCTGGCACCTCTGTTCTCATTCTTGTTGGCTGTGCAACTGATACAGCTAGGAAGGTTCAGGCCGAGATCATATCTCAAAAATACAAGAACATAGAGTTCTATGATTTTGATAAGTATTAGAATATTCTTTCAAAATTATTCAGGAATATGTCCAAATTTGTGAGACATTGGCCTAGACCGGCTTGAAATTTTTAAGGCAATGTTATATGTTGGAGAGTTTGCTTCTGAAATATAGTTCATTAATGCTGAATTTCAGACCAAATTCCAATTTTGCCACTGTTTTTTTTTTCTCTTAATTCTTTTTTTTTGTTTTGTTTTTGGTTTTTATGTATTTTGTAAGTTTTGGGTAAACGTTATCAGAGTCACTATTGTAAATATGTATATTCAATCATGCCACTTTCTGTAATTTTTTAAATGTTAAATGGATTGTCTGTATAAAGGATTTATGGAGCTGCTCAATGTTTCAACTAGCCTTTGTGCTCATTTGGAAATTTCACTTTATATTTATGTGACCATTGAAAGGGCTCTTGAAATTTATGCATGTTATGATGAAAAGACTTTGCAAGAGCAGGGCTGGTGATGGGCTGATCCTCGGCCGGCTTTAGTCCCTCTAGAGCCAACCTGGACCGGTTCAAAAGGGCCGTGGTCTAGCTCTGGCCCTTGGGCCACATTTTGTGCCCTAGGTTCTAGTTTCTTCTGGGCTTGGCTGACCCGGCCGGTTTCATCCTGTTGTTAGTCTTAGGCAAAAGAGCAAGATGGTAAGTTCACATTACCTGTGCATGCGTGCATGCAATGCATGTCTAGTGATGTAATGTATTGGCTTGGAAAGGGGTGGTTCCCTACTCTATATTTATTGAGTGTTAGAAACTGAAAAACCCAATTGATAGCATGGTGCACAAACCTTTCTAGGCGTACCTGTGTTTATGGCTGGTACATGAACCCCTTTCAGTTAAGCGATTGTATACCTGTGTTTATGGCTGGTACATGTTCAGTTAAGGGATAGTATAATGTCATCATTACCTGTGTTTATGGCTGGTACATGAACCTTTTTCAGTTAAAGGATGGTATAATGTCATCATTGATCACGAGGGGATTGAAGGGAAAAAGCACCCTTTGAAAGTGCAGATTGAATATGAGCCCATTTGAGGGTTTTTTTTCAATTTTTATTTACAAAAAAATTGGGGGATCTTAAGAAGGGATACCTGATAAAAATAACAAATATTTTGGTTATAATAAATTGATTAAAATTCTCCTAAATATTTCATGAGGATATGGGTCGCAATCTGATGATAGGGGGAACAATGATACAAAAGGTGTAGGTATAATTGATAATAGAGGAGGTAGTACTCCTATATATGCAGTGCAACTATTACTACAGTACTACTATTATCCAATGAATGCTGATAAGATAAACAAGCGGGGGCACGTGTGGACTTTGTATGTTGTTTGATGCTTATATTTGTAATCAATTACATTGATGCTTACCAATTTACTTTATCAATTAGAGCGTCAATTAATTGAAAGAAGACTTTGACGATGATGACGACAAACGTTGTCTGTGAGAGCTCAGAATCATTAAGAGAGTTGGAGCTTTAAACATGATAAGAGAGAGAACTACACATATCACATACTATTTAGCAAGGCGGTGGCTGAATATCCTAAAGATACAACTCGTCATAGCTACGATCTGGAATCGTCACAAGAATATTACTGTTTATAAAGAGATTTTATTTAATGGATCACATAGATAATGTGAACTCATTGAAGGTGCACTTTATCTCTACTGCTACGGATGC